CACGTCTTCATTAGAGATTTATTATAGCACTACCCTCTTTATATTTTCCCATCAATTTATCTATTTTGTTTTTCTTGTCTAATGCTGGCTGCTCTCTTATCTATGCACTCTATAATCATAACTAACCACTCTTCCTTTTTCCCTTTTTTTTAATATATAAACTGAATCCACCTATATATGCTTTCATGCTGGACCTCGGGAAACATGCACATGAGTATTGAAGCTCCGACAAAGAAGATATTGCTTTAGACCTCATGCACCACTCACAATTTTTAAAGCAAAATAGCTTCCTATGTGCTGTATGGTGGTAATGTATTTCTTCCTTCTTTATTTGTAGATATACATGCACCTCTAACTAAGCTTGCTAATCTATCATATCCTCGTGAAAAGTGAAGACAACCACTCCTTCAAATGCTTCCAACAACAACAACAACAAAGCCTTTAAGTCTTAAACAAGTTGGGGTAGACTAGAGTTGAAACCAAGCAGAAGCAATCAAGGTTCAGGTACGTGAATAGTTGTTTTTCAAGCACTCCTATCTAAGGCTAAGTCTTTGGGTATATTACATCATTTCAAGTCTCCTTTTATTGCTTCTACCCAAGTCAACTTCGGTCTTCCTCTACCTCTCTTCACGTTACTATCCTGACTTAGGATTCCACTATACACCGGTGCCTCTGGAGGTCTCTGTTGGACATGTCCAAATCATCTCAACCGGTGTTGGACAAGGTTTTTTTCAATTGGTGCTACCCCTAATCTATCACGTATATCATCGTTCCGAACTCGATCCCTTCTTGTATGACCGCAAATCCAACGCAACATACGTATTTCCACGACACTTATCTGTTGAACATGTCGTCTTTTCGTAGGCCAACATTCTGCACCATACAACATAGCAGGTCTAATCGTCGTCCTATAAAACTTGTCTTTTAGTTTCTGTGGTACCCTTTTGTCACATAGGACACAAGATGCTTGGCACCACTTCATCCACCCTGCTTTGATTCTATGGCTAACACCTTCATCAATATTCCTGTCTCTCTGTAACATTGATCCTAAATATCAAAAGGTATCCTTCTTAGACACTACTTGACCTTCCAAACTAATATCTTCCTCCTCCCGAGTATTAGTGCCGAAGTCACATCTCATATACTCAGTTTTAATTTTACTGAGTCTAAAACCTTTGGACTCCAAAGTCTCCCGCCATAACTCTAGTTTCTGATTCACTCCTGTCCGGCTTTCATCAACTAGCACTACATCGTCCGCGAAAAGCATACACCAAGGGATGTCCCCTTTTATGTTCCTTGTGACCTCATCTATCACTAAGGCAAACAGATAAGGGCTCAAAGCTTCAAATGCTTCCAACAATTGTTTTTTCCTTTCCGCAGCTAAATCCTTAACTGTACCTGCATCTCAATCATTTTAATTATTGTGCTTGCTCCTATGATTGTGTGTGTGCGTGATGCCTTTTATTTGAGATTTTAGGATCTTGATTTGTCAGGTGAATTTGTTTGGGCTCTTCAATGCAATATACACTGATTTTTAGATTCTTAATATCTTTTTAGCTTTTCACTTATTCGTATGGTGTCAGTTAAATTGATCCACCAAATGTACAAAGAAGCGAGCAACCATAACCCAACATCACACAACACCTGCTGATATATGATACAAGTAACTGCTGGCGAGGCACAGTACCAAAGTAGGTTCATCCATTTTCCCCTTGTTCCTTTGTGTTACATATTTATGGGATATAAATATAACATGTTTATTTTTGTTCAGGACCAGGCTGTTTATTCTTTCTTGCAATAGTTTTTCCTCTACTATGGGTACCGACAACACCATGTAAAATGTAGAGGAATAGTGAATTTTAAAACTCTCTTTCCAGATTCCTATATTCATGCTCAAGTAATTGAATGATCTAATGTTTCTGAATTAATGATCTGCTCCCTTGTCCTACACTTCTAATGAAAAAATCTACGTGCTTTACTGCTGTGACAAAACTATTTACCAAAGTAAATGATATTTTATTTGATTCTATACAGCACACATGCCCACTGTGATTTTGACAGGATAAATGTTCAAACTATATTACAATGTCTTCATCCTGTTGGCTCCCTTCTTGGCAAAGCAGTTGGTCCTGGCTAGCTGGTAAATGTCTCATTCCACAGATTTATCAAGTAGAAGTATTTTGTTAGTTACAATTTCTAACGAAGATTGACTCATAAAGATCAGAGCTCTAGTGTCGTTTTAATTGTATAATATAGCTACTATTTTATCTGACATTATGCCATTCATCTATTTCTCCATGCTTATGGTAATTACTGACGCCACATATACATGCCATTTAATCATACGATATTTTATATTTAGCCAACATATGCAGGCTAGGTTACGATACATATGTTGGTTTGTGCTTTAGATAGTGTAAATTGAAAGCATGAAAAACTTTCTCTTGCTAATTCTTTAAATTGCAATAGGATAAAGTCGCGGAATAAGAAGCTGATAGGCACCCAGTTTGAAAAAAGATATCTGAATATCTGATGAACTTTTACTAAGCTACCTTCCAGGTGAGGAAAGCTGACTGGATGCTGCTGTGTGTCTTTGCCCCTCACTGATTATGTAATATTAGTAGAATTATAGAGTGCAAGAATACAAAAGTAATTGTTGAATTATTCCTGTTACATTAATCTAGCGTATTTCAAAATACAAGCATGTGTGATCTTCCCATGCTTTGATGATGCTTGCAACATGTCTCTTCAGTTCTCCAAAGTTACTCATCTGCACTTAGCTTTTAATATTGTAAGGTAATCAGTCTTCATGTTGCTACCATGTAGCAGTTGTGTGCAGATACTAGGGAAAGGAAAGTGCCAGCTGTTTACTTAACCACTCTCCATTCATTCTTCAAAGAAGTACATATAAATGTTTGGATGTGAACTACTAAGTACCATGCTCAAACTAGTATTCTTTTTTTTTTATACATCCAACATATTTCCTCCGTCTTCAAAATGTTTCCTGCTGCCCGCATACGCGCGCGAGGGCGCGTGTCTTCTACTAGTACTCTATAAATCTCCTCCATCTTGTCGTTTTGGTGTTAAATAGAACTAAGATCATGCTTTTTTTTCATGAGTACAAAACAAAGATCATCTAAACAAAGGAAAGTGACAACTAAGAACAAAGATTTTTTTTCTTATTTTAAATTGTAAGGTGTGTTTAGATGTAACAACTTTTGTAGTCTTGAAAACCGTAATATTACTAAGCTTGACCCATGTTCTATTTTTAGTCTTCGAAACTCCAACCTCAAACTCTTTATTATTTTTTCCAGGTATATATGGGTGGCTCTGTTTTATAAAACTATAGTTTCTTTGTATCCTTGTTTTTTCAAAATTATTTTATATCACCTAATCATGTCTCACTATATTTTTAACAAAAGTATTAAAGTTGGAAAGGGTTTCTTCGTCATTCATCGCTCACAACCATGCAATAGGATCTGAAGAGTCAATCTATTGCGTGTTCATATACACGTGTTCAAGCATAGAGAAGAGTCCGATTCCAAAACAAGTTGAAATACAAAGTATTTTCATGGTCCGTCGCTCTCTCCGTTGTCCGTACAAGCTAAGTGAAACAGAATTGGATCTCGGTTTTTCATAGCTGGCTTGCATGCTAGATGCTACAACTAGAATCTTAGGCCATGTAAAAAGCTGTTTGTGTATGTAGAAACAACAACACAAGTTACATCAATTACACATGCAAAAACAAATTCTAAGCGAGTTCAACTCGGGTCTGTCTACTACACAACCATGTTTTTTATGCAGTTTCAACGTATGGATTTTTTTGTACCATAGAATTAAGATTTAACAACCTCTATCATTCTTCTACCTCTAGTCTCCACAGATCACAGATCACAAATCACAATGTTTTCCTATGAAAGAACAAATCACAGATCCACCGCCGCCATCACCGCCACTGCCATGGCCGGCGCGGGCGCGGGGAGGCGCGCCGGGAGCAGGCGCGGGAGCCGCCGCCGCTGCCACCGTCACTGCCATGGTGGGCGCCGGCGCGGGGAGGCGCGCCAGGGCGAGCTCACCGGTCGTCGTCGCCGGCGTTGGTGGTCACCGGTGAGAAAAAGAGAGGGAGAGAGATAAAAAATCTATATTTTTTTTTACTAAAACACATATGTATTATATAGCATTTAGGTTCTTTTTAACCAAAATTTGTGATCCTTTTTCACGAGGGAGAGTAGAAGGAAAGCAAAAAAGATACCTTTTGTGTGGGAGGAATCCAATCGCAATTTGCGACAGCACAAAGCTGCTCGTACCATTTCGTGCCCCACGAGGGCCTGTCTTTCCGCCCTCGCACCCGCTGCTTCCTCAGATTAATCTCCTACGAATCCGCGCCAGCATCTGGTTACTCTTGTCCCCCACTAGCAGCGGGGGCCAAGAACTCCGAATGTGGCTTCGTGGCGCCCGCTTGTGGATGTGGAGAGTCTCCGTCCACCTCGCCGTCCGCCTCTCGCTTGGTTTTGGCTTCCTAGTTCGCACCATGGCACCGCCAAGCAGACGGTAGTTGGTAAGCACCAGTCATCATTTTCGTTGGATTTTAGGAGCGCTGAGCGCGCAGAGCTTATTGAAATTGGTTTTGTGTTTCTATTGCAAACTAGGGATTAACCCCACCTCTGCTCGCCATTCCGGTCCGTCGAGTATTTCGTCGAACAGGTGGTGGGCGGCCACCAGAGCAAGGGGAGCGCTAGGCGAAACGGGTGGGCAGAAAGGTTTCTTGATTCTTGAAAGCTAGTCGTGCCTCCAGCTTTCTCGCGATCAAGCAATTCATCGCTCACCGGTTGTAATTGCATAATTAGCAGTCACGAAAGCAGACAAGCTCTCCGGGTTCCTGGATGCGACCTCTGTTCCCCGTTTCATGCTCTGCAGACTACGTATAACTGAAGAGGCTGCTTGGACACCAAATTAAAGGTCGTTGGCAAGACCATACTCTTTTCTTGGTCCTCGGGAAGATGGGCTCTGCTCACTTTGCTGCCCTGCTTCTGTGCGCCTGCATGTTCGTCAGTGGAACCGTGGCAGCTAACCAGAACGGCAACCTCACAAGGCCAGCTGAGGTGCGCATCGGTGCACTGTTCACGTTTGATTCGGTTATCGGAAAGGCGGTGAGACCCGCTATCGAGCTCGCCGTTGCGGATGTCAATGCTGACCCTAGCATACTCTCGGGGACGAAACTGAGTGTTCTTATGCAGGACACCAATTGCAGTGGCTTTGTTGGCACCATAGAAGGTCTGAACCTCATTCTTTTGCATCTGTATCTGTAATTCGGTCTTGACTTTATCTTTCTTTTGCTAATTATTGGTATCATATATCAGTATTCTGTTAATCTTCCGTTGCCCTGGTTACTAATTAGACACAGAATATTCATTTTGGAAACAAATTGGTGACAGAATAACTACTGGTGCATATTATATGAACAAGCAACTTTGCATTTTTTTTTAGCTTTTACTGCAGATAAAACAACATGAATTCATACCTGTACTAGGAACTGCAGTAAAAAGATTGTATTCGCATCAGTCTGCAAGTTTGCTCACTTGCTGTTCCTTTATATCAGCAACCAAGTAAAAGTCAGATATTAGCCTCCGGCATAATCATGTCTGATTTAATAAACTAAATTAAATTTGGAAATTCAAAGTCTTGTTTCTTGACATGGAAAATATGACACTTGTCCTAGTAAATTCATATTCGTGTGCCAAGCATACTTAGTAAGTTGAACTTGCCTATCTTTTATATATATAGGCAACATAGAGCTTTCCTTTTGTCTATCCTCATTACATTGAAGTTATTATACATTGTAACGTGCTACATTGGAGGCATGAAGAGTTTAACAACAGTTCTTCTTGTCCAGCATTGCAGCTTCTGGCTAAAGATGTAGTCGCCGTATTAGGTCCACAATCCTCGGCTGTTGCTCATGTCATTTCCCATGCTGTCAATGAACTCCATGTCCCACTTATCTCTTTCGCAGCCACTGATCCTACCCTTACTTCCCTTGAATACCCATATTTTGTGAGGGCTACACAAAGTGATTACTACCAAATGGGTGCTATCGCCGCCATCATTAGTCAATATCAATGGAAACAAGTCATTGCCATATATGTTGATGATGACTATGGTAGAGGTGGCATCACAGCACTAGGTGATGCCCTTGCAAAAAGGAAGTGCAAGATATCCTACAAAGCTAAGTTGCCACCTGGTGCGGCAAACACTACTATCAAGGATATCTTGATGCAGGTAAATGACATGGAGTCTCGCGTCTATGTTATCCACGTTAACCCTGACTCTGGTCTTAACGTGTTCTCAGCTGCAAAATCTTTGGGGATGATGAGCAGTGGCTATGTATGGATAGCAACAGACTGGCTTTCTGCAGTGATAGATTCTTCTGTGCATGGTAATCCTGATGTGATGGAACTTACGCAGGGCGTTCTTGTGCTTCGGCAGCATATAGTTGATTCTGATATTCAGCATGCTTTTTTGTCCAAGTGGAATAATCTTACTAGGAATGGAAGCTCTTACTTTATGCATGCTTATGACTCTGTATGGTTAGTTGCTCATGCTTTTGAGCGGTTTCTGAGAGAAGGGAATGCTATATCTTTTTCTGCTGACCCAAATTTGCAAGCTAAAAAGGGAAGTAGCCTTCAGTTAGATTCTCTCAGAATTTTCAACAGTGGAGATAAACTACTGGAGAAAGTGTGGAGTGCAAACTTCTCAGGGGTTTCTGGTCCAGTTCAATTTACTTTGAATCGAGATTTGGTACACCCAGCCTATGATATTCTGAATATTGGTGGTACAGGATTAAGAACCATTGGATATTGGTCAAATTCTTCTGGTCTCTCAGTTGTTGCTCCAGAAAGCTTAAGTTCATCAGCACTGGACTCTTCAGTGAACAACGTAGAACTCCATAGTGTTATATGGCCTGGTCCGACTTCTGAGAAACCTCGCGGCTGGGTGTTTTCATATCATGGGAAGCCAATGAGGATTGGAGTACCTCTCCGAACGAGCTACAAAGAATTTGTTATGCAAGACAAAAGTCCTGATGGAGTAAAGGGCTTTGCAGTTGATGTCTTCAAAGCTGCAATAAGCTTGTTGCCCTATCCAGTTTCATACAAGTTTGTTTTATTTGGCGATGGTTTGAAGAATCCTAGCTACAGTGAACTTGTTCAGAAAGTATCTGAAAATGTGAGTAACATCCATCCACAGCCTTTTCAATTCTAATTTATCCTAGATTAGCACTTGAATATTTCATTATACAAATGTTCTTATTTCTGTTATTGTTCCCATTCAGTACTTTGATGCTGCAGTAGGGGACATTGCTATAGTGACGAATAGAACAAGACTTGTTGATTTTACCCAACCATATATAGAATCGGGTCTCATCATTGTAGCTCCAGCAAGGGTGATTGAATCAAATGCTTGGGCTTTTCTGAAACCATTCACCTTCCAGATGTGGTGTGTCCTAGTTGTTATATTCCTCTTTGTGGGTGCAGTTGTTTGGATACTTGAACACCGCACTAATACCGAGTTTCGTGGACCTCCAAGGCAACAAATTATGACAGTGTGCTGGTTAGTATCTACGTTTTGTACCTATTTTTCGTCTTCTGGTTTTTAAGCATATTGTTTTTTATTTATATATGAAGTTTTTGTGCATTTTCAGGTTTAGTTTCTCTACCATGTTCTTTGCACACAGTAAGTGTTGAAGTGAAACTGGTCAAAATATTTCAAGGCTTTCCTAGTCCACTCTCATAACCTCCTTTCTCATTTCTTTACTCAGGAGAGAACACAGTTAGTGCACTTGGTAGATTTGTGCTGCTTATCTGGCTCTTTGCTGTGCTCATTATTAACTCAAGCTACACGGCAAACTTGACATCACTTCTCACGGTTCAGGAGCTGACTTCAGGAATACAGGGCCTCGATAGCTTGATCTCTAGTTCAAGTGCAATTGGCTATCAAGTTGGATCTTTTTCCAGAAACTACCTCGTGGATGAGTTCAATATTGCCGAGTCCCGTCTGGTGCCACTAAATAGCCCATCAGATTATGCAAGAGCACTAGAGCTAGGTTCAGGAAATGGCGGTGTTGCTGCAATAATCGACGAACTTCCGTATGTTGAGATCTTCCTGTCAAAATACTGCAAGTTCAAGACAGTCGGTCAGGTTTTCACAAAAAGTGGATGGGGATTTGTAAGTGGGTTCGCTTTCTGTAATCAAAACACAAACATTTACTTCTGTTCAGAACATCTTGTGATTGTACTGTATTCTGTTGCAGGCCTTCCCAAGAGACTCCCCTCTCGTTGAAGACTTGTCAACGGCAATCCTGGCACTATCAGAGAACGGCAATCTCCAAAGGATCCGTGACGAATGGTTAATTGGAACAGAGTGCAGTGCAGACAACAACGGTGCTGGGTCGAACTCCTTGAGCCTATCAAGCTTCTGGGGCCTCTTCCTCATCTGTGGCCTTGCATGTCTCGTTGCTCTTGTAATTTTCTCCCTTCGCATCTTCTGTCAGTACAGCAGATACAGTAACCAGGTTGAGGCTCAGTTTCCTGAGCCCCAACAGATTCTAAACAGACCAGCAAGGTTAACTACCATCAAGTCATTGATCTCTTTTGTTGATAAGAAAGAGGAGGAGGTGAAGAATGCTCTCAAGAAGAGACCAAGTGGCAGTCAGCATCCAAGCATTGGCAGTACGGAAGCACAATCCACATTACCACCTACATCCACTGCATAACTAATGATACCAATATAATGTGCAATCCTGCTTTGAAGTGGAAGTTCTCCTAACACAGAGGCCTAGTTGATGCTGAAGGGGTTTTCCTGTATGTGCCTTGCTATGACTTCTGACCGTGAAAACATATCATCGGAATCGGCTTCAGACTTCAGAGCATTGTCTTCAGAGAAAATACAACAGCTTTAGTTTTTTTTTTTCCCAACAGCAACGAATCTGGATCTCCTAGCAGCAATATCTTGGAGAAGTAGAATTCGGTTGCAGGTTCAACTTCTGTCAAGTTTGCCGCCTTCATTTTGAAGTAACTCCTACCAAGTTATTGTAGCTACCATCTGAAAGCATCTTGAAGAAAAAAGTTGCGAAGTTAGAATATTTGTTTGGTGCGATATGTGGCCAGCTGTGCATGACCCTTCATCTTGTTTAAAGAAGTAGCACATCAACCCCTTGCACTGTGACTATGCAAGGAGACCATTTCAGAGCAGATGCTCTGACCTCCCCCATTCTGTCGTCAGACTCACTTCCACCCTGACGCAACACTCTGAACTAACATTCTGCTCCGAACAGAACCATTTAGATCAGGGGATATCTTTCTGATGTACTGCTGAATAGGAACAGGCAGCAAATATCCATGTGCCCTGCTCTGATTCTTGCCTGAAAATGAGTCGATGATGCAACTGCGAAACTTGACCAGCCTTTAAACCTGATTAGGATTGGCAGGTGGCATGAGCCCATCTTCCTTGCTGGCTTTACAGCCTCGGTTTGGCCCTCTTGCTGGTTGCTGCCCCCACGGTTAGCATTGCATTGGTTGCCAAGATATCCAAATCGCTGACCCCAATCCTGCTCCTGCTCCCGACAACAACTCAGTTCTGGTAAGCTTACTGCCATGCATGTCTCAATCTTTGTCATCCTTGAGAAAAAGGAGTTGGTACCGACCTCTGACTCCGGTCGATTGGAAACGCACGGCCGGGCTTCGTCTTCATGGAAAGGAAAGGTAGATAGATGATGATGATCTGTCCAAACAACGTGTAGATGCGCTCCAAAGATTAGGTCGTAAAAATATATATTTACAGTGTCGTTATCCGGGCAACTACTGGTTACAGGTGTTGGAGAACGCTTGCATCGGGTACGGTGCGGGCAAATCCGCACGGCACAGACGTGCGAGTGCGATGCGAACCAGTGCGATCATCACATGAGCAAACACGAAAGATACACGTGAAGGTCAGGCATTGCTATACGCCATGCAGCAGGCCACGGCAGTCTCGACGGCAACGGCTCAACGGCCGGCCCGCCGGCGAGGTGTCCTGTCTCCAGTGTGGTGTGGTGTGAATAATGATGGCCGGCCCCAAGGAGATCTTCTTGCATGCAGAGCTGCAGAGGACGACGAGAGACACATGTCCAGTCCAAAGATCGTCCATCATTAAACAATGCAAGCAGCAAAAGGATAGGAGGCATCCACTCCAACCCTACTAGCTCCAAGGGCATGTATGTACGTGGCCCCTGCAGGCCGTGCCGTTCGTGCATGGCCGCAACCAGCCGCGGCCGGCCGGTGCCCAACTTGCCGAAGCAAGCAAGCGCTAATAAGCTCTATGGCCGCTATGGCCGGTGCTAAACATGATGGGGCCTAACTCAGTGCCCATGTCCTTATTTGCCTCCTCTTGTTGCCGCTAATATAGGCGTGGTGGTGTGTGCATGCGAGATTGCGAATAAACAAAAGCATCGGTTCGATGACGTTGGACCTTAAGGGTCGTCCATGTAATATAGGTGCTTTGCATCCTCCATTACCGACTCATCGGAATCTGTGGAAAATATATTCAGGTAGAGCCCCTCAGGTGTTGACCTCAAAAAAACAAAAAACAAAAAAAATCTTTGCATCGATCTGTATTGTGATCTTGATGGTGTTGTGTTATGTATACATGATCAAGCAAGTAGCTACCTTTCCTACCTACCTTTTTTCATGCCACTGTTGTGTGTGCATGAGCATAAGTAGTGATGTGCTTCAAGGGAAGGCAAAGCGAGTGGATCGACCGATCGAGAGAAAAAGTATCCTTTGTGCGGCTTGTGGTCTGTGATTTCACTTGTCTAGCTGCTTTTAGTTTTGTGCGCTCAATCGATCTGATGCTCTTTCGGTAGTGGTAGGGCTAAGCTGTCAAGGAAATTAGTTAATAATAAGGGCCACTTCTCTAAAGCGAATTGAAGATGCATGATGCCATTGCATTCAAGGCTAGCTGTTAACAAATCTCCTGCCGATTGGCTGCCGTTGGTTATTTAGTTTAGTGTGTTGTTGTTAAATGTTTATTCGATCGTTTTGTTTATTGTGAGGTTAAATGCAGGCAGGCAGGCTGGCGTTAGTTTCGTGTGACGCTGTGACGTGAGTCGGCACTGAACCATCCATTCACCGTACGTAAACAGAAGAAGTTAGCGCTTGTTGGTTTCTGGCGATTAGGGCATGTTTGGCACAGCTCACAATAGTTTCATGAGCTGTCGTGAGCTGTTTTATTTGTTAAACACCCATTTCTAAAATAGCTTTACCTATAAAGTTATTTTTCTTCCCCTCTCACAAAGACATGAGTTGGGATGAAGCTGAAAAAAATTAGCTTATCCCAGCTCTCTCCCTTATTTCTCTCTCTCATCCATGCATGAAGTTATTGGTGAAGCTGTTTTGTCAAACAGTTTAACTCAGCTTTACCTAAAAAGTTACTCATGAAGCTATTTTCCAAAAAATAGCTTTATAAGTGGAGCTGAGCTATGCCAAACATGCTATAATCTTCTTCGTTCAATTCATTCTGAGGGATCCCACTTTGACTAATTAGCATGATACATGCATGACTCCAATATAATAATAAGGTGTGTATATATATATGCCACGTCTTACCGTACCATGCAGCCTCTCTCTCTCTTTTATATATATATATATATATATATATATATATATATATATATATATATATATATATATATATATATATATATACACACACACTACCTGCAGCTGGCTATAAAATAACTTATTCTGTAGTCACTTTGAGTTACGATAATTATTATGCTAATCTATATGATTATAGTAACTCCTTACTAAATGGTTTCCTGTAATGTTACGGTAAATATCCCCATGTACATAATTATCGTAAATACATATTCACTTTATCATAAATTAAGTATAAAAATTATCGTAAATGGAGGTGGCTACAGAATAACTTATTCTATAGCTTGTTACCGAATATACTCTCTGTGTGTATATATGTGTGTATATATATATATATATATATATATATATATATATATATATATATATATATATAAGAGAGAGAGAGAGAGATAAATTATCTCGGTAGTCAAGCTGTCTGCAGTCTGAAACCAGCACTACTCCGGCGCCGTCCGGTGGTTGCAACGTCGTCAATCGCTACGTACTCTCGTCAGCACCCACATAAATCGACAAATTAACCCTGCAAGATTTGTAACAAGAGTCATGCACGCAAGAGTCCTTTTATTCAGCCATGCAAGAAACGATTTTAATTTTCGTCAGGTCAGGACGGTAGGCACGGATATTCGAGAATCAATCTGGCCGGTATGGCATGGCTTTTTAGTTGCAAATGTCTACAACTGTTTGCTGCATCCATTTGTAGCTTACCTTATCATGGATACACATATATAGCAGCATTATTAAATCCTAAACCGTAGGCATCATTGCTTAATTGTCCTTGTTAGTTCGTTGTACAAGAATTGCGTGGTTATCAGCTGGGACGACAGGAGGAATTAAAGATGAGAAGCGATATCATCTCTGCCTAGTCTCAATCAACTGAAGGCCTTAGCGTTTGTGATTGTCTGATTGACATACGCACTCCACCTAAATAAAGCTGGGACGAAACTCGTGTAATCATTCATAACGACGGCTGCCAACATTCATATTGTTCAGTATTTCGTGGTCTTAGGTGTAGTACTGAGTGATACTGAACGCGGTTCAATACTACTCAGTATTTTTTTCTGGTCAGTTTTGGCTTGTGGTGTGGAATAACGCTGCCGTGTGTGTATAACACACGGTCACATAGAGTAATCTGCTAAATCAGGTAACTAAATAAAGATCAGTGAGGCATCAAGTGCAATTATTTAATAAGTCCATCAGTGTGCACTCAAGTGAATGGGTCAAGCCAACCGACACAGTGCTGCTGGTATTGACCAAAGGGTTTGAAGCCGCCACCCAGCACTTGGATAGTTTCTTGCTACTGTATCCCAGAGTATACGTGAAGCTTCATCTGTCCTTGAGTAGCCAAACCGAGCAGCTCTTCTATGTGCACTGACCATTATTGCCCTTCTCAATTTTTTCTGAAAGTCGAACCAGCTGCCTAGCTATAGATTTTTGTGTGTGTGTGTGTGTGTGTGTGTGGCTGTTTCTTGTTTGAAATCAATACCAAGTCCTTGACAAAAAGATTGTGACTACTGCAGCAAAAGGGGGGAAAAAAGAAAATAGTTTGCAAACAAGGCAGGGAGGGGTCTTCTTCCTGCGGCATTGCAGCCTTGCTTGCAGGTCGTCCATGCTACGGTTTGTGCTTGTGTGACATATAAACATTAAACCAACTGCGCAGGGTGAGGGTGAGGGTGTGTTTGCGCGCAGCAAAGCTCAATCGGCTACTAGCTAGAGCATCTTAAAAAGGGCTTTGCTTAGTTTAATCTAGCTGTGATTAGCTAGCCAGTGTCTAGCATAAATCCAACCACCAGATTAGCTAGCCCACCGTTAACCCATCGTTTTCTCGCTCCAACAGATCATCACAAGATGCCTGTAATGAGCTGTGACTCGGCTCTTACTGATGTGAGTTGAGTCATCACCTCACCTCACCTCAGCAGATGAGCAGAGGCCTTTTTCAGTTGAGCCATGCATGGCATTTGCATTTGCATTGGCATGCATGCGCTGCAGGCGAGCTCTGCAAAAGCTAGCGCGCGCCGCCAACGCCAACCGGGAAAAGGCAGGCGAATACGACTACGATGCTGCAGTGGCGTGCGGGATGCAT